TAGCTTAAACACAATCAAAGTGATATTAATTAATAAGTAATTGTAATGAGAGAATTGTTGACCACACACTTGTATTTTCTGGCAGCAGCTTGACCAGAGTTACCAAGCTGTGTGCAGCCACGCTGCTCACTGTGCCTGGCACTGCCACCATCAGTTCCTGCTCCTCGCCTACTTACTACCAAACTAGTCTTTCATAAAGCAGCTCTGAATCCGGGCATAGCAATGAATCCACATTGAATTAATTACGTTCTGTAAACTCACTGCACTCGTTTCATTTTTCACAGATCCCAAATAAAAAGCAAACGAGGCAATGACAGAAGCTTGAGCGCTGGCAATAAAAAGGTTGCATTTTGCTGTGCAATTGCTTTCTCATTAATTCTCTCTGTTGAAGAGCAGCTGCTAACTGTTGGTACCAGTTTACTTTATGACTAAAACAATGTTTTTGTTTAACAAATTAACTGGCGTCATTTTGTGGAGGAAAAAGAGTGATTACAGTGCTACAGTGATGATTAACAACAGTGCCTGTCCCCTATCCACAGTCACACTACACGTAGCAGTGACCACCCTGGCCCCAAAATTAAAAGTCCAGACTTACCAGTGAACAGGGGTACAAGCTGTTAACCTCTTATTTGCACTTCTCCAGACTTCAGATTGCCTTCAGGTCCGCTCACTAATGTCTGTAGTCACATCAGACACTTCTGTGCTGCGATAAACGCTGACTGGCGTGAGCTTGGAAATGACTTAAAAAGAAAAGCCTGCAAAGCGCTGCCTTCTGCTCTGACCCTTCTGCCTTTGCTTGCGTTTTGCCACATCGCTTTGCTAAAGCAGTCCTCACAGACTGGGGCAAGAATTTCAGAGAGAATGAACTGCGAGAGGAGAATGAAGAAGAGTCCTGCCCTCGCTGCCTGGTTTACTCGGAGGTCCCTGCAGCCCCTGGCCGGCCGTGCTGCCGGCTGCTCCCAGCAGGACAGCTTCCCACTGCTTCTTAAATAGAAAAGCATGCATCTGCTCCTCAGAAGTTTCGGAAGCATCAGAAAGATAGCTGAGAATTACATGTAAAATGCAAGTTTTCTATAGGAAACAGCCTGGCAGTCCACACTTTGTTACTCACTTGATAAGCAGAGTCTTTTTGACAGTCCTAACCTTCTAAACTATAGGTCCTGCTGAGCCCAGCATGAGTCAAACGCTGGGTACCATCTGTCAGAGCTTTGCTGTTTGTTTTTTTCCCTCTCCTCTTTTACTACAATCTGCTGAGAGGGGTGCAGAATAGAAGTTGCTTTCCTGCACTTAAATGAGAAACTCAATCAGGAGCCTTAAAGAAATCCTGCTGTTCCCAAATAACTCTGTAGACGCTGGGCAGGAGAACAAATTATTTCGTATTCTCCAAGATTTTAAAAACAAGTATATAGCATGCCTCAGGGAGTGGGAAAGAATTTGAAGCCCAAAGCTGAAAAGATGGGGCCGAACAACTAAGTTAGATAAACTGTGGGATAACACAAGTGTTGAAGGGATGCACAGCTTGGAGGTTTCAGCTGTTTCCCCAAAGAAACACTCTCAGAGGATATTCCAAATTTCTCACTGATGGATGTTTAATAAGAAGAGCTGTCTGGGAAGAAATGGCCCCCTGCTGCATCATAAAAGAATGACCAAAGGGACATTTTTATGTCTCATTAGTTTATATTCAGCCCTAAATTGGCACCTGCTCTGAATTCGGTCCAAGTTTGCCAGGACTTTGGAGATCCAAATGAAATGTTTCTTTAACACTTTGCTAACAAGTCATCAAGACAGAGGGGTCTGTGGGTTATTACAGACACACTGACACACATGGAAATAGGAATATAACACAAGAAATGTCTTGTCTTGCCAGTGCTGAGGCTGTAGGAAGCTGTTTTTCTAAATGTGGTTGCCACATATGCGTGGTGTGGGCAGGCATTTACACCCCTTATCCTCACAAATCACCATTTCAGAATCAAATTCCTAAGAACCCGAGTGGCTGTGTGTAGTTAGGAGAAAGGAGTAGAAAATTATTGTGTGTTGTCAGTGCCTGAGCTGGCTGCATCCCGTGTCTTTGGGAGCAGTCACAGAGCAGTGATAGCTCTGTAGTGGTGGCACAGCCCTGCATGGCACAGCCTTTCCTGATGGGGAAAGTGGCTTTCTCACCTTTCCACCCACTGTCTGAGGAGCCAAAGGAGATGAGCTGCCTGCAGGACCTGGCAGTGTATGCCCAGCTGGTCACCTGGGCCAGCAGTGCTCGGATCGTGCCATATAAAGTGGTGTGTAATCCTGCATGGATTGTTGTGCAAGGTGTGAATTTTAGAAGGCACCAACTCTTCCATGTCTTAAACAACGTGACTGGATTTCCTTTTGCAATATTATATTATTACTGTATACCTCTACTGACTAACATCACGTTCTTTCAACTTGTGTTCATTTAGCAGAAGAGACGCATAGCTTACTGTAGCACAGATGAGAGAGCTCTAACACGATTTTATTGTCCCCTTACTGTTTCTTTTAGCTACAGCTATCCTATATTGTCATTTTAAAAGGTCAGCAGTGTGATTTTAATGAGCATTTGATTCTGGCCTCATTGCAGTTTTTATATTCATGCAGTTGTGCTTAATACGTTGGCAAGTGTGCTGGCTGGCAGATCAGAAAGATTCATCACACCTGTGCTCACTTTGTCTTGTTTCAAGCTGGAAGGCATTAAAATGCATTCTGGGGACCGGAACAGCTAGTCTGCATTGAGAGCTTACATAAGAATGCAACTTTAAAGGCATGTGCATAGGTAATTGCACTTGTAGGTGCTGTTGGCTTTGGATGCCAATGGTTCCATTTGATTTGAATGAGAGCACATGGGAATGTCATGGCTTGCCTAGTAAGTATAGAGACATAAGGCTGTATGGAAAACATGGCTTTTTAGGGGTTCCTTAAGACACTTACAGTGACCTGCCTGGCACAGAACTGTGGCAATGCAAGAAACAAAGCAAAGCTGAATGCCTTGAATGCCTTTGTTCTCAGAGTGGTGAGCACTGAGTGTTAAGGAGCCCCTTCTGAGAGGCTGCGGGGACAGGACACGTGGAAAGCAGAAAGGAGAAGGATGGGAGAGAACATGATACAAATGGTCAAGAACATGTCACCAGGCTGAAGGAGCTGGGCATGTTCAGCCTGGAGAAAAGAAGGCTGCGGGGTGACCTCATTGCAGCCTTTCAGTACCTAAAGGGAGCCTACAAATAGGAGGGGAATCAACTCTTTGAAAGGGTAGATAACTGCAGGATAAGGGGAAAAGGTTTTAAGTTGAGGGAGGGGAGATTTAGGTTGGATGTCAGGGGGAAATTCTTTACAGAGAGAGTGGTGAGGTGCTGGAACAGCTGCCCAGAGAGGTTGTGGATGCCCCGTCCCTGGAGGTGTTCAAAGCCAGATTGGATGGGGCCCTGGGCAGTCTGGTCTAGCATTAGGTGGGATGATTGGTGGCCCTGCATGTGGCAGGGGGTTGGAGATTCATGATCCTTGAGGTCCCTTCCAACCCTGGCAATTCTGTGATTCTGTGATGTTTTCCATTCGAATGGCTGTTACGATGTCACTGCTAAGCAGTATTTTTCCCATGTGATGTGTTTTCCCACTGTGCCACACTGCTATGTGTGATTGCAGAGCTGTGACTGCAGCATGACTGGATGGCGACTTATTTACATTTATGTATTTCATTTTGCTGTGCCTCCATTAAACATACTATATGCTGGATCTAATCACAGAAGCGCTTTAGGCCGTTTCTCCTCCAGCCTTACTAGTTGTCTGGCTATGTAACATTATAACCCCTGATAAGCATAGGATCCGCTTCGAAAGCTGCATTGTGAGAGGAGCGAGGCCCCTCCAAGTCGTGGCGATTCAGAGGTGGGGAGCAGAGCCACGGCTCTCCCTCCCCGTGCACCGCGGCTGCAGCACCTGCTCCATGCTGCTCCTGCTGCTTTGTGCTGCTCGGAGCTGCTGCTGGGGTCCTGCGGGAGGTCGGGGGCTTGCTAATGGAACAGGAGGAGCTGGGAGGCACAGGCCGTGCGCTGTCACAGCGGTTCGCACTCTCGTCTTAACGTGACCACAGTTACGGGGTCAAATCACATTTGTTTGATATAATTAGGCAAACTGCAACGAGAATTAGTTGCACTTCAGGCTGCGTTTGTGCAACGCGGAGCTTTTCTGGTTAAGCTGCTATATTGTGAGTCTATCACGTTATTCTAACTGGTGTTAGAATTTCCAGGCATTAAAACCACTACAGCAGTCAGTCGGGGCTATCGAGTTCTTTGTGGGTATTTAGTAGATGGGATTTGCTTTAATAAGCTAACATTCGTGCTCCACCAGGATTACTAGAAGGCACATAACACACGCTGTTAGCTTTCCTCTCTGGGCAGACCAAGGAGACTTAAGTAGTTACATCAAACAGTGGTGTGTATTGGTTAAAAGCACGTTGTGCAAAATTATTTCATGTCGTATCTCAACTGATGTAAATAACACTGCGTCTTTAAAATTAGTGAGATACGATTTTAAAAACGGCTTTTGTTCTGTCTTTTGTTACGTGAGAAAACTTTCTGTGCCGCTACTGATATGTTATAAACTTTCTGGCTCAAACGATGGGCCCAACAGATCAGTCTGGGTGTCGTAGAGCGAGTCAGCCTACAAAGACAAGGCTCATGTGCATGCTTCCTGAGGAAATGCAGGCTCCAGGGAAACCAGCTGTGCACAGCTAAATAAAGCAAACAGCAGCAGCAGAGTGAGATACTAGGTGGTTATAGGGTGTCGAAGCACCTTGTTTATATGCTTTTGAGGTCGTGTAGTCCAATAAACAAAATTAGCAGTGAGTGATGTAATCAAACTATTAATGATAACTAACCAGAGCTCAATTGTAAGTAGGGGTTCAATGGCAGCCCTGCAGAATCTCACCCTAACGGACTTTCTTTGATAGTGACCTGTAGTGATAGTGACCTAAAAAGATCTTTCTCTCTTTGCAGGCCTGTCAGAGTATGATCTTCATGCTAGCCAGAAATCTGTGGACCATAACATGGGTGTCTTTACAATCACAGCAACAAAAGAGCAGAGGTAATGTTGGACTTTATGTTTTCCTGTACCCTGGGGGGCAGAAGGCAGTGAAGCATAGCTGTAATTTTGCAGTGGAGGGAAGCATTACCAGGGGCTCTCATGTCCTGCTAGCCCCTAGGCTGCCAGTGTTGAATGCTTTCCTTTCCTAGGTGTCACGGACAAAGGAAGGTCCATGCAGTAGTCACTGTGTGTGTTGTGTTTCCCTGAAGGATGGGACAGTTTGTCACACAGATTCCAGCAGCTGCCAAGTGTACAGCTTTGCATCAATCTTTTTTCCACCTTCCGAAAGAGGAGTGGCGTAGGAGAAATAAAAGTTGATCGGGGCAGCTCCCAGGTACCTGAGATGTGGGAGAATGGGGCTGGGAGTCACCAGAATTTTTGCAGAAATGCTATAAACCCCAAGGAGTTGCAGAAGGGCAGGATGTCAGTTCACGTCCCTTTGTGCTGTTCATGTGCATTCTGAGGATGTCAGCTGATTTCATCACGAGAGATACCGCCTTATAACAGCTGTTTGAATTATTTTACAGTTGTTTCCTTTGTCATATTGGACAGATCCAGTTAGTGATTATTATTTATTACCATTATGTCTGTGCTGTAGAAATCTCTCAGGCTACTCTCTAAATTTTAAATACTCCAGGAAAAGAAAATCTCACCTGAGTCATGTCCCGTAGCCATTAATTTTAGTGGCACAACTGCCATTGATTGATCGAGCCTCGAGGCTTCGTGCTGTATGTATCAAGTGATGTCTTTAGAAGACACTAAGTGGAAATATCTATTTTTTCTTTTTGCAAAAATACAGTTACATGCCTTTCTCTTCTTAGAGCTAAAATCACACTTCAAAGTTGATTAGGAAACTGATTGAGTTAATTTTTGTTGAAACATTAAAACCAGTTAAAAATAAATCCATTTAAATTATAGTCTGCGTAAGACCCAACAGCTATTTCTGAAGTGCACTAAAAAAAGAGAGTTTATCTCCACCTGTAAAATCATTTAATGAGTAGCCAACAGAACCTTAAGATTTGCTGTTAGAGGAAAATGTGTTTTCATGGCATTTATGAAGCTCACAAAATAGGCATTAGCCATGTGATGTATTTCTATGCTACCTGCATCCCTTACATCAGCATGCTACATGGGATTATGCGCTTTCTCTACATTTTTCATGTCAGATGACATAAGATTGCTGTTAGAGCTATGGGGTAATCAAATTTATGTATGAATTTACTCAGATATTTGCCTTTTGGTCTGATACAAATGACAAACATCCAATTTGGCACAAGTAAAATTACTGACCTTTCAAATGTTCATTTGGCTTCAAGTGTCCAGTGGATCAATATAGATGTTGCTGTCTACATTTTATACCACTAACTAATGCTTTGCTTTATTTTGAGTTCCTCAGACCTTCCCATAATGGTGGTAGATATTTTTCTTTATGTATGAGAAGCTACTGATTCCTGATAGACTTTACATGTTTTTTTTTTTTTTTCATTTTTAGTTCTGTAAGTTTCGTAGTCCTCTTTGAAAAGTCTGTCTTTTATTCCAAGATATCCTTAAATAATGATAAGCTCATTTTCTTGGCACGTAGGCTCTAAATTTTGTATTCTTCCCTGTAAAGGTCTGAAAAAATAGAGTTGCTTTAGGGAAGAGTTCTTCAGGTGGTCTCTTTCCAATGGCCTCAGTTTCTCCTCACTTTGTTACCAAGAATAAACTGAAAATAGGAGTCCATTCTACCTCACTAGTGAGTAAGAGCCAGCCTCTGGCCACAGTCTTCAATAAACAGTTCCAAGTGACATATTTGGCATTTAGCTGCTCTGTGTTGGAATTTTATGAATAAGACAGAAGTGAAATTTTAACAAGTTGAAAAAAAAAAAAATTTAAAAAATCAGTCATCTCATCTAAAGGTAGTCACAAAATGGGATGGGGGGGGGGGTTTAACAGCAAAATCTGTTTCGTAGGACTTTTACTGTAATCCAAGTAATATCATATTGAGTGGAGTGGGTTATAGAAAAATAGAGAGTGTGTCCTGCAGGACTCTGTAAGTCCCTCCTTCATACCCAGTATGTTGACCTGACGATGCTCTTATCCAAATTTTCACATTTCAATTGTCAATGGTACGTTCTCAATTTCCAACTTGCATTTTGATCTGAATGGCCAGTAAGTGACAGGAAGGCATGAGTTCCCCAGTAAAAGGAGGACTAACTTATAAAGTGCTGTTTCCAGCAGACAGGAATGCTGAGCACAAGGGTGGCAGCGTCATCTGCTATAGGAACACCAAAAAGAATCTGCCTCGTCTCAGAGGAGCACATATCTGGCAAGGATGCTAATTTCTGTGTCTGACTTTCCACGAACACTCATGTATTCTGTGGGGCAGATTTTAGGCTGATAGACATCGTTCTAATTCCATAACAACACCTCTGACAGCACAGACCACCTGAACATCACGTCAGCACACTCATTTTTTGTCTAATACAACGATTTCTTAAAATTCTCTTCAGTAAAGCAGCACGTTTTCAACAGACACTGTTTAATAAAAGCCCAGCATTAAGATCAAGCTTGAAAGGAGAAAATCTGGAAAGAGAGTAAGAGAAAGCATATGCCCTATCCAGCAGTTGACTAACACGTTACATTAGAAATAGTAGGAAGATTGTGCTCTTACCTGTCTTCTATAAACCCACTGTTTTTCCTGGTGTTAACAGAGCTAAATCCTTTCTTAATTTGAATTTGAATTTTTTTTTTTTTAATTTTAATTTTTTTTTTTTTTTTCCCCATTTCAGTAATCTCTGATGCCCAGTTTTACTTCTGTGAATCCATGGGCACTACTTTGCTATCAGCAGCTCAGTTACCTGCTAGAACACATGATGTGCCAGAGCAAAATAACGGGAGCGAGTTATTAACGCTTCAAGGTTGACCCGCCCTTTATCCCAGAATTCACTGTGTCTTCTTATTGATCTGACTCATGCAGCTTTTTGTCACCTGGGAATTAACAATTCAATGTTTTATTTGACCATTTATCTCTTTAGCAAAATTGTTGCGATCTGTTGACCTTTTAAAATGTTTATGACAAGGTGTTTGCAGTTAATTGTGCCCATAAAAGAGTAGAGCGCAGATCAGGTCTGATACGTGCTAAGAGCTAACCAAGACTTCCTTACAAAAACATACTATGGTATAACGTGATCGTTTAATTTATTTGCAATATAATTAGAAGAAATAAAGATTTCCGATACCAGGAGGGCTGTTACTAGGGAGAGCAGCATTTGTCTGAGGACCACAAAATATCACCACTGTATTCTACATTCCTACTTTTTTGTGGGGGAAGCATCAACTGAGGGTAAGAATTACCTACAAGTAGAATTGCTGATGAAAATAGCAATTTAATTAGCTGCTCATGTGTTTTCTGCAGTATGATTTTGCCGCCCGCTGGGGGAACACCCATATTTGCATTACCTAAGCAGCAATTTTGCTGCTGCAATGTGCCATTTCAACCTCTGTAATGACAACAGTGTGATATTCAGGGCTGAGATTGACAGGTCCAGCCTGTCATGTTTGGTACTGCAGCATCACCTTCCAGTAATGATGCTCTCAAGGTGCCCCAACCATCTGGCCAGCTGCTCCATCCCACAGCGCAGCCCAAATCTCAGGCACAAGTGCCTCCAGCACTGCTTGGTCTCACTCCTGCATGGCTTCCTGCAGCCCTCCTGCTTTTGCCAACAGCTGCGGACAGAAGATGCTCTCTGGGCTCTCTTTTTCCTGCAAAAGGTGCAGTTGCAGGTAGGTGAGGTAAAGTTCTGAGCACACAGAAGCAAATCTGCAGCTGGATGGCTCCAGTGCGGTGCTGGAGATGTGGCCTGGGGATGCTATTAGCATTTCATCTGCTAGGGTCAGTGCAGCCCCATCAACCTGCTCTCAGCCTCTAGAAAAGACCGTCTTACTCTGTTTGACAGCACTTAGGCACCCCAGTGAATTGTTAACCTCGTATAAATCTGCGTCCTGCCGCTAGATCCGATGAGGTCACCCTGATTTCCTTGGCTGCTGCCTCTACCTTGTGTGCCTGAATGTGGCAGCCTGGAAAGGGCTCACAGAGCACTAAGTTGTGGCACACACTGGGACAGACGTGAGCCCAGTGGCACAGCTACGTGACATTAAGCAATGCCAGACAATAAGCTCACTAACACTAAAATGAAATCAGTCGCTCACGAATCCTTGAGCATTTTTCTTATCTAGTAAAACATTTTTTTTTTTTGCGTGTGTTTGAGAGTGACTAAAAGTATATTTCTGCCACGCATATGCTACTGCTCTCATTTTGTTCATGTAGAATGCAGCTTTGTGGCTTCTCCAGCTGCGTATTTCCCACAGCTACCCGAGCACGTGTCCGTGTACTTTCCTGTAATTTTCAAGGCCTGCCTTTAAATGATAAGGCCTGAGGTGCTTGGCTTATTCACATCTGCTGCTTTCCTGGAGGTCAATCAAACAGTTCTTCATTCAAGAAGTAATGGGGTCTTACAAAGGAAAACAATTATTTCACTTGAAATCTATTGATCTGGTTTCTGTGGTTCGTGCGGTGTTTTGGGTGCAGAACAGTTGCTTGAAACAATTTGAGATCAATTCAAGTGTAACTGAATCAATAGAAAACCATAACTGAAATGCACTGCTCTTGTTTTTGTAAGAATGTATTTTTTTTGCTACCTGCACTAATATGAGAATACAAAGTGTGATCAGAACGGAAGGGAAAAACGAGAAGCCCTCGTGTATTGGTGAGAAAGGCTGCTTCTGGAATCAAGTGTCAGGCTGAAGGAAGGCTGAAGGGAGCAGTGTGAGGAAAACATGGTGATGCTCTATTTTGAAAAGCTTTTTTCTTAAAGCTTTCCAAAGAGTTGGATTAATTCCTTTTCCATTCTGAGTTAACCACAGCTAAAATTACCAGATTTATGGCATTATGCAAAATGTTGATATCCTTAAACAATTTTTGCTGCAAGAGGGAGAAAAAAAATCATTTTTTAATTACA